AGCACTTGTTACTAATAGCTTCTTGTTACTACTAGTAAGGCACTTGTTCCTAGTAGCGTTGCACTTGTTACTAATAGCTTCTTGTTTCTACTAGCAAGGCACTTGTTCCTAGTAGCGTGGCACTTGTTACGAATAGCTTCTTGTTACTACTAGTAAGGCACTTGTTCCTAGTAGCGTGGCACTTGTTACTAATAGCTTCTTGTTACTACTAGTGAGGCACTTGTTCCTAGTAGCGTGGCACTTGTTACTAATTCTAATAGCTTCTTGTTACTACTAGTAAGGCACTTGTTCCTAGTAGCGTGGCACTTGTTACTAATAGCTTCTTGTTACTACTAGTAAGGCACTTGTTAAAATACACACCCAAATGTCTGCAAAAATCATTGCACCATATTGTATACCAAGGCTCGGCCATCAAGTAAAGATTCGAATTGGTCATCAGCAAGGGAGCTGGCGTCAAAGAGCCTGTAGAGCTACAGCCTTTGTTAGCTTCACCATGCGTTATATGAAGCTCTTGGTGTTCCAAGAAGTACACTTCAGGCATGGACACCATGGAGAGTTTTTGCCAAGTAGGAGTGCCCAACTGAAGGCATTCCACACACGTGAGGTTTGAAAGAAATTGCCAACCTGGCTCTCCCACCCACTCGCCACTCACGCAAGTGAAGATCGCAAAGGGGCGTGGACCCTTCCAATCCAATTCATGCTTGGCAAACATGCGAGATGTCGCATTGCAACTGATGGCCACTTGTGAAGCTGCTGGGAACTCATCTGGGAGTGGTACTTTGCGCATACCTTGCTGCGCATAGGAACTGGAGGAGTTGAGGTATTGACATCGGGCACACCGGCCTTGTGATTGACCTGAGATCATTTGTAAAGCATCACAGGCCTCATATTGCTCTTGGAAAACGCAGCTAGGCAAGTCTGACGCTGTCAGGCTGAGCAAGCTGCGGCGTTTGATCTCTTGCCAGCAGACTGTCGGATCTGCGATCCGGCAAAAGTTTCCCTCTGGCGGTCTTCCATACAAGGTGTTTTCGATTTGCACATCGATTCTTTGTACATAATCGCACCGCTGAAACAACACACAATACCCTGAAGCTGTTTCATACTGATAAAACTGACATGCGGAGTCTCCACGACAATCCTTTGCACAGTCTTCTAGGGTGGTGGACCGGATCTCATCGAGTCTGGCATTCTTCTCGCGCGTGAAGGCTCCGGTGAAGATCAGCTGATCTGGTAGTGATCCATTGTTGAAGCTGGCGGCTGTCCGGGGTACTGCTTCATTGGATGAATCCTGGACAGGAGCTGCTTCTGCATGAGCTTCTCCAAAACACTCACAGGCTTGAAGAGAATATAGTGTGATGTCCTGGCACGTCGGGACATTGAAATGATCAAGCGGGTGATTGGTTGAGTGGATGAATGCAGAAATTCAGGAGACGTCTCCTTTTTGAGTCACACTGGCGCCCAAGTTCGATGTTTGTCTGTGATTTGACTTTGTATAAACAGTTCTTGCTGGCGGTATTCTCAGTTCTCGTTTTCTGGCATTTGTAAAGATGTGGCGGGGTAATGCCATGTGTTTGGATTTCACTGGTTCTCACTTTTGTGAAAATCAAGGACCATGAAACCATTTTTGTTTGCTTTGCGCTGTCGTTGGTTTACATCCCGTGTCTTCATCTCAGTCAGTTTGGTCAGGTGGACGTTTGTTTTTGGTGGACGTTTTGCGCATGGATGGATTCTCTTGTTAGTGTCTTCTTGGGCTTCTTGCAGTGACTAGGTGGTGAGGGCTTGCTGGGCTACGGTGAAAGAAGAGGTTTCGGCGCCGGGGGGGCAGTAGGGCACCTCCCATCTGCTCCAAACCCCGGTGCCAGCTTGGCGCCCCCATCCCCCTACTGACCAAGGACAGCAACCAAGCCTTGAGAAAGAATACCAAGCAGCTTTGAACGAGATGGCAAAAGCCCGGTCGTCTGGACTGGCTCTTTTGAATATGCAAACAGAGCTACGTCTTGCAGGCCTTGTAGACCGCAGCGCACTGTCTCAGCGGGACCAATTACAACAATCACTCAGCACTGGGAAAGCTAGCATCTGAGCACTGAAAAAGAATAGTTGTGCCAACCGCATGTTGAAGCACTTTTGGACATGCGCAGTAGAAAATCAAGCACTTTACACACGAAGCAGAATAATGTCAGGCGCCTGAAAGCGCCTACACAATACATGGATGGATGGGGGCAGATTCAGGGACATAAAAGCTAAGTGCAAGGAAACACCACCGTTTGAAGCTCGTAACGTGCTTCTTACTAAGGCCGCCTGCAGGTGTGCACGTCTCCTTTCCGCTTTTGCCGGTCGGTGTTGGGTGATGCGATGACCTTGTACGTTCCGGGCAGTCTTCTTCGTGTTACTGGGGCTGGGGAACCCCACGGAGATGGCTCGATGGGAACCTTCTTGGTTGCTGAAGGTTTGTTTCGATTGGTTCCTTGGTTGGATTGTTTGTTCTTCTTCAGTGTCTTTTAATTGCCCTTAGGGGTATACGTCCTGAATATGACTATGAAGACCAAAACTTGAAATCATGTTGTATGATCACAGGTCTGCGAAAACACAAGAAAGAAGGGAAGACAGGAGCATCCAGTCAGTCTGATGAAGGGCATGCTGGCTGTGAATGATGGGGATCCACTCTGTGCAAATGTGAAGCCAGAAGTCAGACCAACCTAATAGTGATGGCCTCCAACCTACTAGCGCTGGCCTTGACAGTTCACGTCTTCCAAAGGTCAAAACGTTCTAAAACAAGGCCGGCCTGCAAGGACGGGCCTCTCTTCCCAACGGAAGTGCAGAAAGGATCAGACAGGTCTAGAAGCCCACTCAAACAACAGAAAACAAAAAACCAGAAAGATAACAAAGAATCTGTCATCTCTTCTTTCCTTATCCCTTAGATGTCCCTTTTTCGTTCATTCTTTGTACCGCTACAAACCTCTTTCATGTCCTTTCCTTCAGACTCGACACTGCGACACACGTCGAAACTTCGACCCGCTTCCTCCGGTTGGCCGATGAAGACCTGCTCCACACCGACGTCGACGAAGCTCGGCTTTGCGCAGGACGGAACGCTGAGTTTCAACGTCGCATTTTGCTGAGCACTTGGTTTCTCCAAAAGAGCACTGTCATTCAGCTCCGCTGCAGAGAAATTCAGCTGAAACGTCACTTCACCACTTTGAAAGGATGCCCTCACGACATCTCGGTTGATGCAAGCTATCTCTGCACCAAAATATTCTGGCGCATTGGTGTCTCCGTCTTTGTAGTCTGATGTATTGATGTGCAGAAGTAACCATGTGGCATTGCGACCTGAGCGATGTGTACGTGTCATGCAAGGTCGCGCGCAGCCTATGAATCAGTTTCTCGGCCTCCAACCGATCCATCAACCTCCCTTACTTCCCTTGACATCCTTAATCCGGCCAAAGGAGTGACTGTGCTGTTGTTGCTGTTGCTGTTGTTGTTGATAGAAATTCCTGTTGTGGCCTATAGTTATGCCATGCTAGGCTCAGGCGTGATCAGCAGAGGTATGGCTGATTGTGGTAGACTTTACGTTAAAGAAGGGCCTCTTCGCGGGTTTTCCATACAGCTTGTCTACTCCGCACTATCTGCACCACGATGCTGTATGAATCCCTTTCCTAAATCATCTCCAACTTTGAACTGGTTAAGTCCCAGCATCAAAGCAGGCATGTGGCGCAAAGTCCATGACACCTACATTAGTCATTAGTCCACAGTAACAAATAAAAGTTAGTATTAAAGGGGCATCGTGCAGGCATGATGCCTGTTCTCAAATATAGCCAAATATTGAAAAACACACTATCTAGATACCTGCCACCAATGAGTCGGCTGAAGATGCACGAACGAAAGTAAGGCTACGTTTGGTGAGAGAAACTGTTTTGGGCCTTTGATAGGGATTCTTGCAGGGCTTGGATGGGCGTCCTCCCTTCAAAACAACCAGGTTCAATCTGTTGGACAAAGGCGAGAAATTGTAGAGCTGGTTCTCTCGGCAACAAATTGGCCGTCATGGTACAAGTCATGTAGCTATAGTAGCAGCAGCTGTAGTGCTAAGATTTCGCTGTGATCTTTTGGATGTGAAGATTTGCAAACTCAACGTTCAACATGTCTTCTTGAGGTTTGGCTGGCTTGAAGAAACAATTTGGGGCGTGGGTTCATGGGCAATAATTACTAGTGAATATTATACACACTTAAAACACCTTGAAAAGTGTAGCATCAAACACCAAGCTGTAGCATGAGAACTCTTGATCAATCCCTTGCAGTCTTTCTTTTCGCGCTGCCTTTCACAGTGTCATCGAAAAAGGAAGACAGCGATGACTGAAGACCGGTTGCAACCAATACGTTGGTAGGGGCATGCGAAAACCAATGGCGCTGTGGCACTGTAGGCGCTGTGGGAGTGGTCTGGCGCCCCGGCACTGGCCCGCAGAAGGGCCTCGCGCAAATGAGGACTCGCTTCTCACAATTTCCAGCTTCGCCGCTCCAGTCGTATTTCTTGACCTTCTCTCCCCCGCAACGAAGGATTGACACCCTGCAGGTTAGTTTGAATGGAAGTTCAAGTTGATATGCTGCACTGACATGTGTGAATTTCAGCTGTTGTAGCCAGGGTGTATTGCGTACAGTTGATGCACCGTCGCTGCTGTTTCGGCTGAACAGGGCCCTTGAGCTGATTCGCTGCTGCGAAAAGGAACTGTGCGAGATTCAAACTGGTAGCGGAGCAGGTTCTGAAGGGGCACCCTCAGGATCTGACTCACCCGGGGAGACTCGCTGGATCCAACCGTTGAACCCAATTGCGTGACCCTGCGCACAATCCGTCGAACCGTTGTAATTCCAGTGCTTTGCGAAACTTGTTGAGTTGCGATGTCGCTGGCTGGCCTGCGGTACACATCCCATGGAGGAAGTATCTCAGGACCACAGGAGACGAAGAGCGGGTCATACATCTACAGTGGCAATCCAAATGGTTTCTTCGAATGGGAATTTCGCACCAAGGTCCGCGTTGCTTTGCACAAGCAGAAACATGCGAAGAAGAAGTCAGAGAAGACCTATTCGAGTCCTGGAAGCCAATCAGCCACACCAGAACGTTCTCAGAGGAGGCCGACTTATGCGACCGAAGCTGGGGATGTATCAGAGGATGACGAGGCACGATTTGAAGCTTTTGGAACCCCGAAGTCCGAGAGCGTGGTAGGAGAGGAAGAACCAGCTCTGAGCACTGCCGGACTGGATGATGATGGAGCAGAGTATGCAACACTTGTCCACAAGGTGTTGGAAGGTCTGAGAGGTGATGCATACCTCACAGCTCAAGACATGGGATTGGAGAAGTTGTTGACTCCAACTGGCATTGATGAGTTGATATCGCGTATCCGTGCACAAGTTTTTCCACTTCGACAACAAGAAGCACGAGAGTTGTTCAGAGTGGGTCAACTCCCACATGGTCCCTTGTCTCGCCAAACGACAGAAAGCATGACTAGCTACATTTCACGAAGACGTCGTTGGTGGAGGAAGCTTTTGGAGATGGATGATGGGGTAAGTCTTTCAGACCCCATGCGTGGTGAGCTACTTCTGGAAGGTTCTGGCTTGAGCAAGACAGAACAGCTCATGATCAAGACAGCTGCAGGCGACAACCAATCCTTTGACGTCTACGCCAAGTTCTTGCTTGAATTCCATGGACAAATTCACTTGCGCAGCTGGTCCGCTTTTGGTAACACGAGCCCTCGGAGGCAGAAAGGCGGAGGCAAGTTTTCAGGCAAGTCTTCCTACAAAGGAGGAAAAGGGCGCAGTTGGCAAAGATCTGCGTACATTGTTGAAGATGACTCTTGGGACTATGAAGATTCCTATGAAGCAGAAGCAGAGGACGACTATGAGCATGAAGCTTATGTCGCAGCAGAAGATGAAGAACCAGGTGATGAAGAACATGAAGACTATATCGAAGACCCTGAAGTTGCCACAGCGTTGATGGCAATGGGAGAATGTGATGATGAAGAGAACGATGTCTCAGAGGAACTGGGCAGCGCAGCCCAGCATCAAATGATGGCCTTTGTCGTGACTGACCAGTTGAAGGGCAAAAGCAAAGGCAAAGGTAAAGGTTCAGGAAAGAAAGGTGGAAAGAGCAAGGGGAAAGGCAAGTATGTGTTCAAGACACAGTTGAGCGTGCAGGACAGGATTGCACGTCTAGCAAAGTTGAAGTCAGTGTCCAAATGCTTGCGTTGTGGAGGAAAAGGACATTGGGCAGGAGACCCAGCTTGCAAGTTCCCCAAGCAGAACGACAAGTCCCCTGGAGGAACGTCGTCGACGAGTAAAGCCACAGCCTATTTTGCATTGAGTGATGATGAGTCTTCTGTTGAAGGTGAATACATGTGTGTTGATGTCAGTGGTCAAACTGTCGAAAATGGTACGTGCTACATGGCCTACAAAATGTCCCCAAAGAAGAAGCTTGAGTTCGAACCGTCAGACCGTGCATCCATGTCGTCAGGAGTGACCAGCAGTCCACCGTCTAGCTTTTCGATGGTCGAGCCAAATGTCCGTCGGTCACCGCAGAAGTCCCCGCCGGTCACGCGTAGGAAGAAGGACATGGAACAGGACTTGTTGCCTGAAGGTTCGCAGAATGTCTTTGTGTTTGGTCAGCATCAAGGTTTGACATATCATGAAGTGTTGTTCAAATATCCTGGATACTATCAATGGGGATCAGGCATTTCGCACCCTTCGCGTTGTTTGGCAGATTTTCTGACCTGGGTGACCACGTACTATGAAGTCAGTCAGGACGGAGACGTAAGCCTGAGAGAGCATCCATTGACAGATGTGCCAGTAGAGGCAATTCGACGTACTGGAGACAAGAGTGCCAAGGGAAAACCACCAAACCCCCCGCTAGAGGAATCATGTCGTCGTTGCACCAGATTCACATTTCAAGGTTCAAATGCCTATGTTGAGAACAAGACATGCCTTGACTGCGGAAGGAATGAAAGAAAGAAGAAAGAAAGCAAACCTTCGGCCGACCCCGCAAAGTGCAAGCATGAGGTTACAGATCGTCGAGGCAGTTCGAAAACCACGTCTCGTTGGTACTGCAAGTTGTGTGGAACCACTGTTGACGAGATGCCCCGAGAAGAGGCGCGCAAGAGAGAGGCAATGGCAAAGAGTATGGTAGGCATGCGCACCAATGCATTCGACACGACAGCATCCATGATTGAGAATGAAATCAACGATGCATGCATGTCAGCTGAAGGAACTCTAGAGGTCATGGAGATGTTTCGACAAGAGGTTGAGTGTGAGTTAGAATTTGGAGAACCTGTGAGGGTTGGCGTCCTGTTCGAGATCCTTGCCAATGCCGTGGAGGTCATCAGAGAGGCCGCACCGGAAACTTGCTACATGGGACTGTTGTCGGATCTCAACGAAGCTACAATTGAAAACACACTTTGTCTTGTTGACATCATGGGCTGTGTTGGATGAAGGATGTAATGCAACTGTGTGTGGACAAGCATGGTTCCAAAACGCCAAAGACAAGTATGCACGTCTTGGGTATGATGTAGCTGATTTGCAGTGTGACTCAAAAGCTTTCCGAGGACTCGCCGGAGACACCAAAACTTTGGGCAAGTGTCGAATTCCATTTGCTTTGACCTTTTTGGACCCCGAGACGAAACTTCCGGGAGTCATGGAAACGCATGTTGTCGATGGGAAGATTCCATTGCTTTTGTCACAGCATGCTCAAGCTGCATTGCATTTCACGAAATCTATGGGTGATGCCAAGTGTTATGTAGGAAATGCAGAACTTGAACTGTGCAGAGCTAGGAACTCAGGACTCCTATGTGTGAATCTCTCAGAAGGCCTCAAGAGCCTAAAGTCCAAGAGACTCCCAAAGCAACTTCGAGAACTTAAGAACACGGATTATGGCATGAGCTTCAACATTCGTCCATCAGATCAGTTGACTGCATTCATGGCTGACGAAGAGCGCCCGACTAGAGGCACTTTCACGCTGGATGACCCTGCTTGTGTGCATGTCCTGACATGTGGAAAGGAGTTCAATGGCCAGATTGCAAGCTTTGATCGCAGCAAGAGCTTGATTACATTGGGACCCATCTTGGCGCAATTTGACCCCGGGAGGCGATTGTTGATCTTTGACTGCGTGGGATTTGGAGATCCTCAACACGACCCGCAGTTGCGATCTCACGTCGGTACACATCCGGAAATCATTCGAGGGATGACTGGCAGCGAGAAGACGATGGAAGCATTGCTATATGGACTTCATCACCTGAAGGCTTGCCATGAAAAGGGACAACAGCTGGCTGTCATAGCCTACTGCAGGCGGAACA